GGCTCTGAGCTGTCAGCACAGAGCCTGATGCGGGGCTTGAACTCACGGACTGCAAGATCATGACCTGAGCCGAAGTCGATCACCCAACCGACTGAGCCACCCAGGCGCCCCCACAGTCATGTGTTTTAGGGGAAGGTGACTCCAACCCTGATTTTAGGAAATGGATACTATTTAGACTTAAATCAATCATAGCAACCTCTCTCTTCCTACCAGTGATTAAAGAATGGCATGAGTGAAAGCAGTACAAGAAGTTAATGCATGCTCTAAACTAAACATTGTAGTTGGCACTAAGGAAGTATCAACGGAGATAGAGGTTTGCATGGAGAAATATGGAAGAACAAGGCATACAGGATATTTCCTAGGTTTTCAGCTTAGGCAAATAATGGTTAACCATTCCCATATACTCAAAGCCAAAGAAATACTTTTAAATATTAATAATCTTGTGATATTCTTAGTATATTTCTCTCTCTTTTTTTTAAGTTTATTTTGGGAGAGAACAGGTGAGGGACAGAGAGAAGGAGAGAGAGAATCCCAAGTAGACTTTGCACTGTCAGTGCAGAGACTGAAGCAGAACTCAAATCGATGAACCATGAGATCATGACCTGAGCTGAAAGCAAGAATTGGACCCTCCACTGCCTGAGCCAGCCAGGTGTCTCTTAGTATACTTCTCTTAAATAAATCTAGTAAGAACTAGTAAAGGATCATATTTAAAATTTACCTGATTCTCTATTCAGCCTTAAAAAAGGATGAAATCTTGCCATTTGTGACAACATGAATGGACCTAGAGGGTATTATACTAAGTGAAATAAGTCAGAGAAAGATAAAAACCACATGATTTCACTTATATGGGGAATCTAAAAACCAAAACAATTGAATAAATAAATGAAAAGCAGAAACAGACCCATAAACACAGAGAACAAACTGATGGCTGCCAGAGAGAAGTGGGACATACAGGCTTCCAGTTACAGAATGAATATGTCACAGGGATAAAGGGTACAGCACAGGGAATCTAATCAATGGTATTATAATAGCATTAAAGTAACAATGGTAGACACACTCGTGGTGAGCACAGAATAATGCCTAGACTTGTTGAATCACTATGTTGCACACTTGAAACTAATGTACGTAATACAGTGTGTCAACTATATTTCAATTAAAAAAAAAAAAACTAATGTACTTAAAAAAAAAAGTCTCAGAGAGGATACACTGGCCTCAGAAGTTCAGGCAAATTCATAAAGATGAACGAATGAGGCTAACTGATTTTGTCTTACAATACAAGTCAGTATTATTTTTTTAAACTCTAACAATACTGACCACAAATAAGATCAATTTCTAAATATCATTTATTGTGCACTGCCTTCTTCAAAAAATGATTTAAACTAGCAAAATGTCTGAATAAATTAAAAGTCAAGCCAAGAATACAATAGTCCAAGGATATCTGACTACTCTGTGTGTTATCTGAAAATAATTCCAGAGAATTAGATGGAGATACATAATCCATTATGCTAACCAAATTTATCTTAGATAAATCTAATAACAGCAATAATTAAGGCTACCACAGATATCAAAAGAGCCAGGCAAAGTATAAACTACCTTGACAAGTTGATGAAGTGCCATATCTTTCAGAAGGTGGTGTACTTGGACAATTGAAATGATGTGAAGTTCCTTGTTTCAAGTCAATGTTTGTAAAATTCTTTGAATGGCATGCACAACAACATGACAATGGTTCCTCAGCTTTTTTACTTAAGCTTTTGTCCACCGGCTTTCCTAAAAATGAAAGAATCTCAATTTGTAATATTCCTAATTTAACAAACATTCATAATCTTCTGCAACTCAGATGAGCAACCACCCAATTTGCCCAGGATTGGGAGGTTTCCTAGGAAACAAGATTCTCAGTCCTAAAACTAGAAAAGTACCTGGCAGATCTGGGCAAGTTGGTTAACCTATCTCCAGGATCAAATTACAACAGGCAAGAAACACTTCTGCCAGAAATACTTATAGAGGGAGTTATCAATTTACATAATTGCAAAAATCTAGTAATAGTCAAAGATAATGTTAACCACTCAAGTACTCATTTATAACAAGTTTTATTAAAATATCAAGCAGGGAATATTAAAATAAAGACCTAAAGTATACTCTTAATTACTGCTATTTCCTTAAATGAAGAAATTGAAAGCTCAATACATCAAATAACATAAACATATAAGGGTTAAGTCATTTCCACCTTATACATCTATTTCAAATAGAAACATGCTTCATGATGTATCAATTCTGATACATGTATTAAAATATACTTTAAGGTCAATATTCAAACTAAATAAAACAGGTAATTTTTAATACTTAAATAAAATACAAAATTGTAATTGGTCTACATTGTGTGCCTACATGTATAAATACACAATTCATAGACACTAAAAAAAAAAAAAAAAAAAAAAAAAAAAAAAAAAAAAAAAGGTGAATAATTATTCTCTATAAGCAGTAATGACATTATTTTCCCATCTGTACTACATAAATACTACTAATTCTACTCTTTGGTCTCCCACTAAAATTTTAAATTATTAACAGATTATCTCATTTTTCCCCAAAGATTATCAGTAACAATCAGAATGAACAAAAGTTATAAAATATTTACTGTTCATTTTTAAGAGTCTTATAAGTAGATTTCCCTTCAAAAGACACACACATAAAAACATATATACATACCTACACACACTCCTGGTTAACTTTAAATTCTCCTAATACTTTAGGTCAAATCCATTTAATTATGTAACTAAAACATATCCAAAACTGCATTTCGGATTCATTATGTACATCAGCTAGTCTTTTATAAAAGTCAATATACTAGGCCTTTGTTAGCAAATAAAAGTAATGGAAAAAAAATATGTATTCATGAAAACAATATTACAATAAACTTTTGCTTATATAACATCCAAACAAGTAGAAAAATCGATTAGAATGTTTCCTTTATATATTCCATGTTCTAATGTTGTGAGGAAGGGACAGATAAGCAAATACATTAAAGGATTTACTCAAATTATTTGTGTATATTATACACCATTACAGGCCAATCTCTTGCATCTTTTAAATACAGATTATCATAATCATTTTCATAATGATAACTCTAAGCATTCCAAGATTCCTGTGCATACTATGAATCATCAAATAAAGGACTACATTATGCTCAAAATTGTTTTAGAATTAACTGAACATATTTTGCTCTATTGAAACTCTTTTGGAAGATATTTAACTTATAAAGAAATATCTTAAAAGAGAATCCACACTTAAATTAGCTAGAACATGGTTGAACCATTCAGGATAAAAAGTAATTTATTAAAATATTTTTTTCAGGTCCCAATAAGGAACCTGAAAATATCAACAACTACTTACCATTAAAAGATTGTTGCCATGCTAAAGCAGAACAAAGTAAGGCTACACTTTTCCCACTTCCTGTAGGGCTCTCCAGTAAACAATGTTGCTTACTATTTAATCCTCTGACAATCTATGGACACAAAAACAATGAAAAAAATCAATAAGCAATTTACTTCATAGGGTATCTCTCCAGGAGAAGTACAAATACAACAATGAGAAATAAGGTTGTACTTAAGGGAGCACAGCAAGAGCAGAAGCAAGCACCCATGTTTAGTGAAATCTAAACTTTATTCCTTTGTATCTCTCCCTAAAATTATGATGGCCCTAAAAAGCATATCAAGCAAAAAAGAAATGAAAAAAAGCAATTTGTGCCTTAACGGTTTCTGTAAAACTAGAATATAGTACATGAATATTTTTGACAAAAACAAGGGAGGCTACTGCTCATGGGAGTGTAAACTGTTATAACCACTTTGGTTTCTGTTGTTATTGTTGTTATTTAAGTTTATTTATTTATTTTGAGAGAGAGAGAGAGAGCACGCAAGTGAGGGAAGGGCAGAGAAAGACAGGGAATCCCAAGCAGGCTCCATACTGGCAGCACAGAGACCAACACGGAGCTCAAACTCATGAACTGTGAGATCATGACATGAGCTGAAACCCAGGGTTGGATGCTTAACCAACTGAGCCACTCAGGCACCCCTGTACACTTTGCACAAAAACTAATGATTCCTAATAAAGTTGAAGATACCCAACTCCAGCATGTACAGTACTACGTATATACTCCGAATTTTACCCACATGAACACAAGGAAACATGAATAATAAAGTTCATAGCAACATTGTTTATAATTGCTAGAGAATGTAAACAATTTAGAAGTCTATCAAAAGGAAAATAGAAAAAAAAATTCTGGTATACTCATATAATGGAATACTATATAGCATGTAAAATGGATTAACAATCACCAGGCCTACATTTTAAATATGTCAAGAGAAAAAAAAGTTCTGCACAAAGATAGGTATAGTATCGTATCATTATGTAACATTTAAACTACGTAAAATACTCTTATTACACTCGTAAACAAGGTATAAAGTAAATATAGTAAAATATTAAGATTTAACACAGTTGGTTTCCTTAAGTTTGCATATTGCCTATATGAACAGTCTCAAAAAAATATACTAGTCTGTGTAATAGACAGCAAATACTTCATAGAAAGCAGTAATTCTGCAAAGTAAATAGAAGTTCCAAATGAGCTGAGAATATTTTTCAGAATGTTCTCCTTTGCCTCCATTATATCCATGGACATATATGGTTTAGCATGGTATTATTTTTCCAAGGGTTAGATGTTCTTCAACAAAGCAGGCAAATATTTTCAATCCATTTACTATCTGAGAAAATGAATGTAGCCTTATGAATTATAAACATATGTATCTTAATAAAGACTTAAAATAACTATTGAAAAATACTTACAGGGGGCGCCTGGGTGGCTCAGTTGGTTGAGTGTCTGACTTCGGCTCAAGTCATGATCTCATAGTCTATGAGTTCAAGCCCTGCATCAGGCTTGCTGCTCTCAGGGTATATCCCTCTTGGGACCTTCTGTCCCCCTTTCTCTTTGTCCCTCCCTCACTCATGCTCTCTTTCTCAAAAATAAATAAAACATTTAAAAAAATACTTACAGAATTCATCATAGCAAGCTGTGATGGGTAAGCTTTATAAGGAAAGGTAATTTTCACCCCACCAATTGTATATTCAGACCACATTGAAGCCATCATGCTTTATTCTTTACTTCAGATTCCTAACTGCAACAGAAATGAAAATCAATATTGAAACAACACCATTCAAAGAAAACCAGATACGCAACATTAGGACAGATGTCTGGAAATAAAAATTGGAATAAATGTTTAAACAAATGGAAGTAAAAAAATTTCCTAGTCTTATAAATCACAACAGTTGAGAGCATGTCTTGGAATCTGACAAATGTCAATTTTCATCCATGCTCTGCCAAAGCTGTGGACTAGGAACTAGAAAGTACAGGTTCTAGACCAGGTTCTGAAAACAACTCAGATATGTTACCTTGATCATGTCTCTTCACTTCTATAGACTAAGATCCTTCTCTGTAATAACAATGGCCTGACACTTAGTAGGTGCCCAATAATTCTTATTTAAAGGTCAGGGGGGTATAATGAAAAGAAGATGAGTTTGGAGTAAGGCAAACCTACATTTAAATTCCTCTGTGTGTATCACTTAACCTCTCAGAGCTTATTTCTTCATCTGTGAAATGGAAATTATACTACCCACCTGATCGGGTTTTCATGAAAATTAGCCAGGCACTGAATTAAGAATAACAATGTACAGAAATGTACCCAAACTTCAGTATGGGTACACAGAGGAAATGATCTACTTTATACCACCTTTTCTTAACCTAAGATACATAGATACAATTCTAAACCACCTTTTCTTAACCTAGACATATATAATCCAGAAACTGGGATCTATGAAGTTTCTGTGCATGACTGAATTTTTCTAAAAAGGGTCTATAGACTTCTCATTCCCAGAAATATATCCTGAGGAAATAACTGAAAAGGGGCGGGGTAGGGAGGGACTGATATACATCGGTACCACTTTGCAATAGTGAAAAAAAACTTGTAAACTCAAACTGGGGATGGAGGGATGGTTGAAATAACAGTGTAATAGATTAGAAAACCAATTATAACCTTAACCATAGCCTATGTGTTCCAAAAGAAGAACCACTATTCTAAAGTATTTTCCAGTCCTAATATCTTGTGATTCTGTGAAGCTCTGAGAATGAAATTTGGTGGAATCTAACCCCTTAATCTGAACCAACAACTCAAAGCTGGTCTAGTTACTCAGATATGACCTTCAAATCAATCCATCCCCCGCCCCAGTTGTGGCAACAGGCATCTCAAAATGGGGTAGCTTCCCACGCACACTGAGTAAAATAAACAAAACCAAAACAAACCACAAGTATCTGCCTGTCGCTCCCGGCCGCCTAACGGGCCTCCGCTCCCATCAAGGGAGGACAGGCTCCCCTTCTCCCCAGGTTTCCGTCCTCATACTTTCCTCCTCCCTCAGCCCGCAGAGATTCCAGACGCCCTAGTGATCCAATCAACACCGACCAGCCAGCAAGGCGGTAGGGCGAAAGCGGAAGCAGCCTTCCCGCAGATTTCGCGCACTCCCGGGCAAGGGAGACAGACTTGCCTGTCCAGGGGAAAACCGAAGAAACGCCTACAGGGCTAGGCAGAAGAAAAGGAAAGCTTTTCCTTCACAGAAGAAAAGGAAAGCTATATCCGCAAAAAAAAAAAAAAAAAAAAAAAAAATACAGTGGAGCGCTGACAAAGAAGAAAGGTCACAAGCCTCTTTCTCTCCCTCAGGGGGCTGCTACCACCCATGCCTGGTCGCGGGCTCCGGGCGGCTCTAGCTTTCCCCTCCAACCCTCATCAGTCTCCTCAACCACGCTCTCCCGGACGAATTCCCGCCTCCCACCCCTTAACTCCCGACAGCCAATCGCCGGACGAGCTCAGACAACCAATCAGACGCCAAGACCAGAAATGAAACAACCAGTCCTGGCGGGAGTTTAGGGAGGCGAGGACTCTGGCATCCAATGGAAGCCTCCGCAATAAAAGTAGGCCCAAGGTAAGTGGCGACACCGGAAGGGGAACTACCCAAAGCGTGAACGACTCGTCCAAATCTCAGGGATTTAAAGGAAAAGAGTTCTCTTGACTTTTTGAAACCGGTGATTTAACCTGTGTATAGCTTTCTTGGAAACTCAAAGTCTGTATTCTTAAAGTCTGTAGACTAACAGAGAAAACACCTTTAAGTCTTGCCGAGTTCTTCGAGCACTCATCAGTGCCACTTCAAATTCTAACTTTATAAGCAGTCAGGGTATAGAGACTTGAAGCGGGAATTGCCAGACTGAGCCAAACCAGGAGAAAAAGTTGGATGACAACCGGCTACAGTATCTCATAATATTCAAGGCTTTCTCCGATACCAAATTAAACCAGACAAACGCTCTCGAGGTCTTCGAGCACCAGGTAACTTCTACCTTCTATTGTGGCTCATCCACCTTCTGGCCCTTAAAGGCCAGTTTATTCTTTGACAAGAAGTACACTTAAAGTTCCTCAAAAGTAGGTTAACCATGATCCCTCTGAATTGTTATTTTTAAAAAGTTCTGTATAGCCTGAAACTTGATTAAAATACTAGTGTCCAAAAAAAGCAAAACCTGAGACATTTTCTCAAATTCGAGAAACTGGTTTGGGAGAGAGGTTTGCTCCAGGAGGGAGCAGCAGGATTTGTTTGCCTTTCATTTTTACTACATCGTCCCCAAATGACAATACTTACAGTCATGAAAAAAAATTCTACCCTTCAATCTGGCCCTCTCAGACTCATAAATTTATCCTAAATAAGTAATCTAAAATTAAGAAAAAGTAATAATACCTCAGTTGATAACAGCGCCTATTGTAGTACTGAAAAAAAATAATAAACTTCCGTATAGTAATAGGAAGATGGTTATACCAATTCAATCATCATGAAACCAATAATTATAAAACTAAATCACTATGAATTGTAATTATAAAAATTAAACAACTTGCAAAAAACAATTCCTATAAAATTAAATGAAAAAAAGCAGACTCCAAACCGTATACCATTAGTGGGTACCACTACTTCCATTATATGACAAATATGTGTGCATAAGCAAAGATGAAGGGAAAGTACAAAAAATCTAATTTGTTAAGACAGTGGAATGAAGGATAATATATAAAAAATAAGTCCTTAAAATACCTTCAAATTGCTATTCTGCATTTACAAATTGTTTTTAATTTCTTTTAAAATATTTTTTAAATATCCAATCTTTTAAGTAACTGCTCCAAGGTAATTATTCTGATTTTGTTCCTAAATTCCTAAGGCTCTCAACTGACTATAACTTTGTATTGTCATTTGATGTATGTGGCATAACAGAAAGGGACACACATAAACCCTGGAGCCAGTGACCCCTAGATTCCAGTACCTTGAAATGTCCCTTTCAAGTTAGCTGCAGTGAAATGAAACACAAAAACTACAAATTCATTTGATAAAGAATATGAATGTTTATAAACCAATATTCAAAATAGTTGCACACATCTGTTTTCACCTGAATAAAAAAAAAATCACATTGTGACAAATCTTAACCTTAACTTAAAATACATGAATATTAACATTTACTAATATATTTACACATTTTATTTACATCATCAACAAATCTGATGAAAAACAGCATATGTTATTTTAACACAGCAGGTTTTGACCAGTCTTTGAAAATTGATCCAGGAATGTGCACTGCATTTAGTTAGAAAACATTTCAACATTTTCTGAACTCCTAGAAGTTACGTACTCACAAAATATTCCAAAGCCTCTGTTTAAAAACTAAACAAAACAAAACAGGAGCAGTTGTATTTAATCTTAAAAGACTATAAAACTGCTTTCTTTAAAAATATGAAAATTCTTACGGTATTTTTTAAGTGTATGCTTTTACTTTTTGCATCAAAATTACTTAATTGAACATTAAGCATCTAATAAAAGGTATAAATATTCTATCATCTGTGATGCTGTGTACTTCATGATTTGAAATAGCTACAAATTAGTTCTCATAGAATACCCTTATGAGGTAGGGCCAGTAGTAATTCCATTTTACAAAGGAGGAAAATGAGATGTGCCTATACACTACTGAAAAGACTAAGGTTAAGTTTCTTTTCTTAAAAAACCACACTTTCTTATTAGTCTACCTAATTTCTTATACAAATGAAGAGGTCTGTTTCAAAGCAGGGGACTGGAGAGGTTGGGAGGAGTGTGTCATTCAGGTATTTCTCAGAAAGCAAAGAAAAGTACCTTCTATGTTGGATATTTAATTAAGGGGGGAAAAATTAGGATTATGGGTTACCTGAATGCATCTGCCTAATCAATGGAAGTTACTAACACAACTGCAAAATCCTTCACCCACATGGTACTTTACACTTTTTAATTTTTCCTTAGGTTGAAATACTGTTTATTTTTTTATTCAGAAATCTTCTAAAATTAAGATATGAATTATAATCCTAATGGTACACCAAGAGCACTTCAATCTAGTGCGTTTTACTGCCCTAAACTTTAATTAGATACCAATGTATTTCCCACCACTGACCCCTAGGTAAGTTAGTAAAGCATTATAAAATAAATTAAAAAAAACAACAACGAAATGAGATCTCTTTTCAGGTTCTTCTATGCACAAAGATGTTTCTTGTAAACCAGTATCTTAAAATTCCAAATTATTCAAGTATCTCTTTAAACATATGTCTACATATTAGTAAAAATTGAAGCAAATATGTAAAATCTTAAAATTCTCATCTGTAATTACTTGCATTGCAAGTTTTAGCAATTTCTATCAGGTATTTAAACTAATTTTTCCTGAAGTCTCCCTTCCCTTTTTCTCCCTCTCATCATTGCATCATTGTTACACTGTTACGAGCTGACAGCCATAAACTAGGGCTACCCACTCATCTTTATAAGAAATTAAGTTAAAGGCATGGCACTTTTCCTTTATTGCAAATGCTAAATACAAGGCCAAATTCACCTTCCAATAAGGACTTCTTAAATGTGCTCCCAATAGGAAAAAACAAACAAAAAACAACAAAAGAAGCTCTGCTGCTACAATATAAACATACCAGCAAAGTAGATCCAAAGAACTGCCAATCAAATACAAGCAAGCACAATTCTTAAGAGAGTTCTAAATTATATTCATGTTGAAATGAATCGTTTAATGATTCCAAGACGTTACTGTTCCCATTCAGTTTAAAGTTGTTATAAAGATGCAGATTTGTATTGAGTATATGCAGCAAACAGCTTCACTTTTTTGTTTTACTTTTTTTTTAAATTCCACTAACACTCATGTTTATTATTTCAATTATTGTGCTTTCAATACAATGACAGAGCTGTACGTCAGGATCCATACTTCCAGTGTCCCCAGATCCATTTTTGTAAGATGGATCTTTACAGATTCCAGACCATCCACTCGGTTTCTCCTTTATTTGTTGAAGACCTAGAAACATAAGGAAAAAAAAAATGAATTAAGGCAAGGAATCTGGAAAGGATTTTGGCCTTTTTCTTTGATATATCAAAACAACTTTGAAAATAAGTTACTACTTACGTGTAATAATTGGATCAATGTCTCTTGTCTGAGTGGCAACATCAGAGGCACAGACTTGCCCTATTTGGATCAGCAAAGACATAATATCCTCATACAGGGGAGGAAATGCTCGACAAAAAGAGACCAAACTTGGCAGAGTTGGCATGAAAAAAGCATAACGCTTAGCCTGCGTTAAAACTGTTGGAAAGAAGTTAAACAACTTTTTACTTCACAGATATAAATTCAATGTACATGGCCTACTAAATATATTAAGTACCATGCTCTGTACTAAGTTTTCTAAGACAGGGCTGATCCCTGCCTTCAAGGAGTTTACAATCTAATGTAATAGTCAGCCATCATCCAACATAAATTCTTACTCCCAAGCACTGTGTTAAGTGCATTACAAGTATTATTTAATTCTCACAGTTTTATGAATGAGGAAAGTATTATGATGATACCTCCTTTATAAAGGAGGAAAGCTCTTAAATAAACCTTATATTAAGAAACTTGTTCAAGGCTACATGCCAGTTAGTGATGGACTTGGGACTGAACTCAGGCAGTTAAAGCTCTTAACCACGAAAACTAATCATAACATGAGGTGAATACAATGAAAAGAAAAATCAATAAAGTAGTATAGGAGCACTAAGAAAGAATATAAAATTAAGGCGTAACGTTAAAAGATTGAATTATAGTTCATATCTTTTATTTTTTTCTTTTTTTATTATTTATTTATTAATTTACATCCAAGTTAGTTACCATATGGTTCAACAATGATTTCAGGAGTAGATTCCTTAATGCCCCTTACTTATTTGGCCTATCCCCTCTTCCCCATCCCCCCCAGCAACCCTCTGTTCTCTATATTGAAGAGTCTCATATGTTTTGTCCCCCTCCCTGTTTTTCTATTATTTTTGCTTCCCTTCTCTTATGTTCATCTGTTTTGTATCTTAAAGTCCTCAGATGAGTGAAATCATATGATATTTGTCTTTCTCCAACTAATTTTGCTTAGCATAATACCCTCTAGTTCCATCCATATAGTTGCAAATGTCAAGATTTCATTCTTTTTGGTTGCCAATATATAGTTCATATCTTTTAAAGTAGTTTATTTTCATACCATTTAACTCTACAAACCAGACAGTGATTAAAATATTAAAGTAGGTTTTAAAACTTAAGGAAACAACTTATATATTTATCTCTTATTTATACATTATGATTACATTTGTAATAAATTGTAACTAAGCAGTTGTAATAAATTGCAACTTGTCTTCTATTGACATAATTACAATCAGAAAGCAGATCTGATTTTCATTCATAAAATGTGGAAAGCTTATTATATTTACTTACATGTATATACATTCATTCACAAAATAAAAGATGCTATTTGCTTACCTATTCATCTCCTCTTCACTATAAATTATATTTGTAACAGAAAATTTTTCAAAAGAATAAATGAAGAGATGGCATAAACTACTAGTAACACAGAAAACATCGTGCTACTAAATTCAGAAAAATATGTACTACTTTATGTTAGAAGTTATTATTGATGCTCGTTGGCTACACACCTGTTAGCAAAGTTCCCATGACATTCACAGCTAAGCGAGCCACACTGAGTGACTTTGGTAATGCATACTGGATACACAAATGAGAAAGCAGCTGGATAGCAAATATCTGCAATACAAAACCAAAATGTTACATGTTTCTGAAGAATCCTTAGGTATTAAACTGCTAAAGTTGGGGCGCCTTGGTGGCTCAGTCAGTTGAATGTCAGACTTTGGCTCAGGTCATGATCTTATGGCTCGTGAGTTCAAGCCCCGCATCAGGCTCTGTGCTGACAGCTCGGAGCCTGGATCCTGCTTCGGATTCTGTGTCCCCCCCCCACCTCTCTCTCTCTCTCAAAAGTAAATATTAAAAAAAATTTTTTTTTAAAGTATTAAATTGTTAAATGCTTGACAACTAAAGACTGGAAAGAGATTAAAATTTTCCTAAACCTCCAAAATGCTCATTACCTGTTTTTCAAGTTCTGGCTGTGCAATAAGCTCAGGTATGAAATCCAGACAGATGTGCATAGATGGAATACCTGCGACTGTCAGAGGTAGAAGTTCACAAGGATAACCCTATCACAACAAGAAAGGGGGGAAAAGTTAGAAATAAAAAACTATAAGCCAAATACAGAGAAAAATACACAGGAATGTTTTTCTTCCTTTATGTAAAAGTTGCTCAGAAGGCTACCATGCCTTACATATATCCTGGCATTTCACCTTTCTGGTGCACTAGAACAGAGATAAATTAAACATGTTAGTCTGAAATAAAATCTAAAAAATCTGGATTTTTTTTCCATATTACAAAGGACTATGATCATTTATGTGATCTCCAATTTCTGACTGATCCTTATTAACTTTATAATCAAAGCACTCCCCCTCCCTCAAAAATAAAGTTCAACCATAAAGCATCATTCTTTGAAAACACACCTGAAAGTGAACAAGTTTAGCAATGTTGGGATCAGCAATGTACATCTGGTGTAACAGACAACAGATAAGGCACTGAACTTCTCGAAGGTTACAGAGCAAATTGTCTTCTCCTTCCTCCATTCCCTTATTTGAAGCACTAGTAGTAATAACACTTTGAACATTCCTTAGCAAGCTGTCTGGATTGACACCCTTTGCTTTTTCTTCTTCAGTAGGTAAGCAAATCTCCAAGAGAATCTGGACAGCTGCACTATCCTACAACCAAATAAAACAGTGAATTGAAGAAGTTTCTGAAAATTTTGTTTGAAAACCAAATCTAATTTTGTTTTCACATGAACAAAAGTGGTAAATTAACTTCTTTAAAAAAAAAAAAAGAGGTACTTTTAAAAGCAAACGTGAACAATCTATAGGGTAGCGATTCTCACCTTGTTTAGGGTCCTTGTTCAGGACCCTTTTAAGTCTCTGAAGAAAACTACACACCTTCTCTGTATAAAAATGAACATGTAAACATTATGCTAAGCAAAATAAGCCAAAGAAAGACAAATACCATATGATTACACTCATGTGGAATTTAAGAAACAGAACAGGTGCCTGAATGGCTCAGTAGGTTAAGCATCCAACTCTTGATTTTGGCTCAAGTCATGATCTCACTTATGGTTATTGAGACAGAGCCCTGCGGTGGCTCTACACTGGGCGTGGAGACTGCTTGAGCTTCTTTATCTCCATTCTCCCTCTGACCCTCCCCCACTTGCAAACTTCTCTCTCTCAAAAAAAAAAAATTAATTAAAAAAAGGGGGGTGGGGCGCCTGGGTGGCTCAGTTGGTTAAGCATCTGACTTCAGCTCAGGTCAAGATCTCACGGTCAGGTCTGTGAGTTTGTGAGTTTGAGCTCCTCCTCGGGCTCTGTGCTGACAGCTCAGAGCCTGGAGCCTGCTTCAGATTCTATGTCTCCCTCTCTCTGTATCTCCCCTGCTCATACTGTGTCTCTCTCTCAAAAATAAACACACACACACAAAAAAGATGAACACAGGGGTAAGCGGGGGAAAAAAGAGAGGGAGGCACACCCATAAAAGACTCTTAACTACAGAGAACAAACAGGATTTGCTGGAAGGGAGGTGGGTGGGGGATGAGCAAAATGGGTGATGGGCATTAAGGAGGGCACTTGTGATGAACACTGGAGATGAACACTGGATGTTATATGCGAGTAATGAATCATTAAATTCTACTCCTGAACTCAACAATACACTACATCTTAACTAACTAGAATTTAAATAAAAGCTTTAAAAAAATTAAAATGTAAACAAATATATAATTTCAGGGTAGTCACATATCACTAAGGTAGATCCATGGACTCCAGTTTAAGAATATCTACTAGAAGAGTATTCTGATTCGATGACATCCAAAACAGGCCCTAAGCAAAAAATAACTTCTACCAGAATCTCCTTTCCTTTCTCTTAAATTCCTACATTTCCAAAGATCCTATCCTGCATTCTCCTCTTTTCTCACCTGGCCTTTTTTCTCACCAACTAATTAATTCCTCTGAAGATGGTGGTTAATAATTAATGCCTAAAAGTTACCTTCTAAAGCTCTTTTTCCCTTTTAATTTGAAGATGAGCTCTTTAAGACCCTGGTTTTGCAAGGAAAAGTTCTACCTTATGATCTATTCCACCTGTACAACTCATTGTTGCTCAGTCTACAAGCTTGAGTGTCATTTCATAGAACAGTAATTTCCTGAGGGTGATCTACTCAATGCCCCTACATATAAAGGAGAGCTATAATCACTCTTACCTAGCAGGAAAAAGTTTAAAAAAAAAATACACACACACACACACACACACACACACACACACACACACACACACA